TAAAAAAACAAGGTTTTGTCTTATGAAAGAATCAACAATACTAATAACTTTGTTTATAAAATTTCAAATAAAAAAATTACTTTTCTTTTCCTCAGTTAGACTTATGGAAACTAGTTATTTTACACCTTCGAAATCATCAATCAATCATTGTTAGACCACCATTAGAAACCTGGAAGCACTGGACGGCCGTTTCATCCTGGCACGGGATTCATCAGCAGTGTGCATCCACGACTCCTACATCTCGCAGGATTCGAACCTGGGACCTTTGGTCTTGTGCACGAATGCCTAACCTCTGTCACCCTTATTCAACACATTAATCATCTAAAATAAAATACCTAGTAATGAAATTGGTGTAAAACAGAAACTAGAGTTAAAATGTAAAAGTAGACAGTGATAACAAGTATAAGTTGAAGTTTTAGACAAGAAGTAAAAAAGCCTTTATTATAAGTTCTAAAACTCTTATGTGAAATATTATAATTACTAGAAAGGAAGCGGTCAAGTTTTAAAGTGTAATTGTCATTCACTACGACACTGTATTTTATTTACCCATATCTCAAAACAATTTGGTATTGACTCGTAAAATATGCAATTTTTGTCATCACAGCTAATGACTCCTTTTGACTGTCATAAGAATAACGAGTTACTCTGACATTACATATGTCAAAGCCTTACATATGGCCAAAAACAATGATAAAGGCTACTCTTTGGTCATAGGTTCTTTTTACAACAATTATTTATCTCTAAAACACACAAAATTAGTTCCTTAAGCAGACCCAACATAAATACATTAAAGAGTATAATCAGTAAACACTGGTTAGTTTATTAATATTTTTTATAAAACAGTAATCATCCAAAAGCTCACTGGTTGTATAATTAAGATCCAAGATACAATTACGTCATCGGTTAATCACTGCAATACGTTATGTACAAACAGAATTAAGTTCAAAACTAAGCAAATGAATATTGATGTTAAGCCTTATTTGTGAAAATGTTAATCTGTAATCAATAAAACGAGAAATGAGATTGTTCAAATAATATGAAATGAAGTTGTACATTGAAATGTGACGGTACTGACGAAATCTTAAGATTGAAAAGAATTCAATAAATTTAGAGAAAAATAGTAACAATAGGAATACTGTGGATACTTAGCAGTCTACACAAACTTTTCTTTACAAAGATTGGGTTTATGGATGTATGGACTCATGGCTTTCGCTAAATATAATAATGAAGTCAAGAAACATGGAACTTGCTTAATGGAATTCTATGAGTAACTTATAAGGCAAAATTCGTATTAATATGGTGACCAGTAAATATGAGACTTTTCAAAATGAAGCTTCAAACTGTTCCATTTCTTACTTTGCCTAACCAAGAGGGGTGATGTTCAAAAAAATGATGATGCATTTGCCTGATTGTATGTTCAATATAACTGACTGCATATAAGCAGTTAAACTGGTAGGCACACATAGAGAAGGCGTAACTAAGAAGTTTGTCCTTATGTTGTGAACTCACTAACGGCTGTTTGAGCAAGGAAGGGCATAATCTACCTGCGTTAAATATTCGTTCAATGACTTTTCATATGTATCATATCACGACCTCGCTGGCAATTCACCTTTAAAACACAATTTTCGGGATAAAGGCTTCATAGATGCAGACAGTGATTTCACTTTGCGTTTTGATTTTAGTATGTGTTTTGTTAGGAACTTTGATAGGTATTTATTAGTTTCTGTTCATGTAAGCTTCACTTTAATACAGTAGATTGTGTTTCTGTTTATCTTTGCTTATATATATATATATATATATATATATATATATATATATATATATATATATATATATATATATATTGACTTTAGCAATAGTCTGAAACCTGATTTGATCACTAAATCGTCCCATTTTTTTTTCAACATTTGTCTGACATGCTAAATCTATATACTATGCGGCTCATTCGTAGCTGCCTTAAATACAAATGAGGCGAATTATTTTCCATAAGTTATTTGTTTCATTAACTTTATTGTGTTTTATTATAAATAAGTTTCCGAATTTTATTTGGAAAAATTTACTGTTTTGAAATAATAACCACTTACAGGAAAATTCAAAAAGCATATTGGATAACTGTTTTACTTCAGAAGTGAACTTCTTAACAGTCATTTCCAAGTGATCATAAAGTAAACTTGATAGTGATTCTCATGCCAAATCACTACTGTTATTGTCCGAAATTTGCATATTTTCAACCAGAGTGAAACAAAAAAGTAATTTATGGACCAACAGATTCTGAATCTTTTACTCTCTGCTTAATAAAGTTTAGCATAAAAGTAATGACTTTAACCATACTGTGTGGTCACAAACTAGAGTAAATCAGTTGTTCAGTATTTTATAATGTCGAATCTTGTGGAAATATTACTTTCGGCATCTGCCATAAGTCAAAACTTTCACTAAATCTAGGTTTTACAGATGAAATCTTTGACTAATAGCAAATAAGTCTTTAATAGGTTTGCATTAAGAGTTAAGTAAAAACTTCACCATCTAGTGTAGCTTAATCAATTAAGATTGGTTAAAATTACATAATTTACAAGTAGAAGACTAGAAATATTTCCTACATAATAAATTCCTGAGTAATGAGAATATAAATAGACACTTGTTAATCTAACAAAATTCAGCATGTAATTGTGTTTACATATTGCAATGAACATACTACATAAAAAAATAATTTGTATCCTTATGATCAATTATTGTTTTTTGTTCAATGCTTACAATTTGCCTAATTTCTTGATTTCTCTTGTCAATCATCTTTTTTAAGTTACTAGGTAACATTGTATGATTACACAGGTGAACAATAACTATTGTTAGTTGTATAGTTAAAGTTCATGATATTGATTTATTTTAATAGAAAATTACGCCATAATATATGCATAAAACAATGTCAATATCAATTGAACAATTAAATACAAATATCATGTCCTCTAATAAATTTAGCTGTAAAAACAGTTAACTTATTTTATAAGAAAGATTATATATATATAAATATCTACATATCAGGTCAACTAACTGATTTTATTCACGTCACCTGTTAAGGTTGTTTAAGGCAATGATTACAGAGTTTCACACATTATCACGTTTTTTTTGAAAAAGAAATCAGTAATGAACTAGTTGGCATAAATGTTTACACAGCTTGTTTCCATTAATTTAACATTAATTTTTGTATTCATATTTACTGACTTGTAAATTCAACTCAAAACATTTCATCCAAGTTTTTATATTGAAGTATATTTAAGATCTTGTACCTATTGTATCTATTATTAAAAAATACATAGATTCAATATTTTAACTGTAATATTAGATCACACATTGTTCACATGACATAATTAATTATTTATACATACAAATAAAATATTCACTTTTATGTAGTGAATTTAATCTCATTTGGTTTTAGGTTTTTTTTGTTCTCATTATCGCTCTGAAGTTTTCTTTAGGTTGCTTAAATTTATTTAATCTAAAAATATCGTAATTGTAATCCATCTTGTAATATAAAAAATGTAAGTATAGATTTGATGCAATTCACTTAGTGGTGAGTATTAGTCAAAATGGAAACATATGAACAAATGTTTAAATACCCTGGAATGAATTAACCAGAACTATTTGTACTCTGGCATTTTGGTCTTGTCGACGGAAGAACCAATCAATCTATATCTTTCCGTAGAGTTATTTTGACATGGATCGGTAGTTGTGTCTATATAAAAATTACTAAATATCTATTCAGTAGTTAAAACTCGATTCTTCATTGGTTTAATAACTCCTAACTATACATTTCTTCATTCAAAGGAAATTATGACATAATATGATACAACGAAAGTATTCTCAGTATTTCACATAATTCTTAAAACTGTGGAATTCTTTTTTATGATATTTAGAAATCCGTGGTAGAGGTACTAAATCATTTCTCAAGACATATGCAGAATTTATGTTAGATAGTAGTTCTCAATTTTTACGTGATGTAATCGATTTCGAGTTTCTTTATTATTAAGTGATTCGTCGAGTACTTTGCGGGTTTTTTTAATAACTATATCAAGGTTTTTAATATGAAACGAGATTTACGACTGATAAGTCGAACAGATATTATGCTATGTCATTCCTATTCCGGCTCATTTCTCAAATAGCATCCGTCTTATTAACTAATGAAAAAACTCTAAATAAATGCGCAGAACCAGTGCAAAATTATGACATCTTTGAGGCATACGTAATTTGACCTATCTATTTCGCTTCATATTCATATCTCGACATTATTACATCAATAATTCATTTTAAAAAAACAAACAGATTTATAAAACTCTGGATGAAGTTGTGATTAACGTGAATCAACACTCAAAACCAAACGGATCTCAAACACTTGAGAAGATGCTTATATTTATTTTCAAAGTAGCTAATGAATAACGAGTAGTAATAAGATTAAGGTCAATATATTTCTACGCACTATTTTATAATTATCACGGGAGCAGTAAAATATCGACTGATTCCTCGGTGTCCTCTATTATAAAGTTGCATTAGCAGGTGAGAGAAAATTTCTATGCTTAAAAACTGCTTTTTTTATCTTGATTTTCACCTGACGTTACTTTGTGCCTAAAGATTAGTAATTTCTGGTGCTAATAGTCATTACTAATGAGGGTTTATTTAAGATGTATGTCTATTGCGATTTGTCGATCCAGTAAAAAAAATACCCAAACAATTACTGCACCCAAAGTTTGTTGTACATGTAAAGCTGAAGTTTTTAAGGATCAAGCGAAACTACGTAGTTTGTATATCCAAACAATCCTTTTCATATGCTCTGTCAAGTAAGGGTGAAAAAATGTCTTAACACATTGTTTGTTTTATCTACCTTCCTAAGCACCTTTTGTTAGCGTTTCTTAATAAGTCATTCATAGAACTAACCATTGTTTTATTTTGTGCTACATTTTATACATAGACTAAACTAGTTTCTTCACAATATTTAATTTCTTTCATTACAGACAATGATCTGGGAAAAAGGACAAAATCCTTTATTTGTATCTACTGTCAGTTTTATGCAAGATTCTAGATTTCGTTTAAATATTAGCGATGATAATTACTATAACAATGAAATCTATCATTTTGATACTAAAGAATACAATGCGAAATCTACATTGAAAGGAGATAAGTTATCGTATCAAAGTTATGTAGATAAATATGATGTCAGAAATAATTGGAAACGTCGCCGATGGGATCTGATTATTGACTTTGTAACACCAACAGATTCTGATATTTATACATGTATGCTTATGGGAAGAACATCACAAATGATTAGTTATCATGTGATTGTAAATGGTAAGTTACCGGTTTTTTGCATTTTTAAAGTCAATAAGTTCAAGTGAATCTGATTAGTTAACAAATTCAAAATGGACGACGAAATTTTCTTGTAGTAAATAGTTTTAACTAAAGAATTTCTCAAATCTTTTTTTGAATATAATTGTTTGTAATTATTGCTTATTGATATTACTCACCTATTCCTATCAATTATTAATAATTAGGTTAGTCAACTTGTCCTCAAAACTCAAATGTCTTTAAAAATAATCTTTTTTCATGTTATTATTTTATTGACAAAAATTTCAAGGAGTCTTTTTGGACTTTTACAGCAAACAAAATAGATTTATTATTGAAAGAAATCAGGATTCCATCAACAGAATTTTAAAATATGATCGAGATGTATGGTGTTTGTGTGATAAGCTTTTATAACTGGTAATTCATCAGTATAGTACTGTTCCTGTTTGTATTAGGTACATTTCAACACGAAATACATATTCTGAAATGTAAAATGAATACATGTGTTAGAGATAGACATTTGTCTACTTTGTAGTTTTGGGAAAATACAGAATATATGGTCGTAAACAGCTCAAGCAAAAATATTGACTTCGAACGTAACCATTTGAGAACAAAAGATTTTTTGAAAACGAGGAAATTAAAAGCAGTTACACTAAAGAATATGTAGGCTTGTTTCTATGGTACATAGTATTGATAACTAAATGTTTAAATATGTATTAAGCATGTAGTTTAAACTGCTTTATTGAAATTGTATCAATTGTTTATCATTTAGTTCACATTTTAAGAAATGTTCACAGATGTCATTACAGTTTACTGAACATTTACGTTGGAATAAGCTTTAAATATGGTGTAAATGTTCATTTATCAAAGCTTGACTTACCTACTGACCACCAGATATTTCGGCTTCTTTTTTAACAACATAATTGTTGTTTTTCTGACTTCACGCGAGCAGCACTAATATTTTCTCATTTAAAACAGCTGCTTATTAATAAGTATTCCTAAAGATCAATCTGAAACTTCTGTGATACGACCAATTTTTGACAGTCCAGATGTGTAGCTGACAGGAACAATTTCTAAAGAGTACCGTCTTCATCAATATTAATGTTGACAAAATAAGCGTTCGGTCATAAATGCACCAATCCTAATAGCTTACTGCAACTGGTAAAGGTGTGCTAGTGATGTCAACTAAAAAGACAACGAAAGCTATAAGATTAAGTGATTCAGTTCAGACAACATAACTTCACTAACAGCATTCTCACTAGTTTGATAATGCTGAGTTCACTTGCTCAAAACAGTCTTGGACTTCACTTTTTTACATGAAAACATTAACAGACACTAACGAGAAGTTTGAAATAGAACGAAATTCACTTTTAATAACAAAGAGTCATGAACCGCTGTATGATAACATTATGTGATTTAGGCATTACATACCAATAAGTAAGAATTGTATTATATTTCAGCTATGCTGTTGTTATCTATTTTATTTTGCTAAGCCACTTAAGTCCTTTACTCCTTGTACCTATTATTTAGTTAGTATGTAATAAAAAGAATCCATGCTTTGATTAATGACGTATAATCCAAATATTAAATATACTGTTAAGGATTTATCTCTCAACAGTGTTCCTTCAGTTAGCTACTCGATGATTATATGAAGTATTCTGTGAATATTTTAGTTATCGACTGAGTTACTGGTAGACCAAAAACCTATTTCAAACGACACTCGCTTAGTAATTTCAGCTATAAAACTAGTAAATTTTGATTGATGCGTGCCCTTATACGGTGTTAAACAGCTATGAATAGCTAAGATGCTATAAATCTTGGTCTGTCGCGTTAATTTTTCTGAATGCAAATACCAAAGGCATTTGCTATGAACCTAATGAAAACAACGCCAATGCTGTTTCTTATAAAAGCATTTATAACGAATAGTGAAATATCCTGGACATATGGAATTTTATTTAATACAGTTTTCTTGCAGTTAGATGTGTTACATTAGGACCCATCAATATTTACATTAGAATCGGTAGTATAAACTGAAATATTTTAGCAAAATGTGTTAAAATGTATCCATTCAATGAGTTAAATTATTTTATTTAACTATCCACTGTCACATATGTTGAATGGAACCCAATTCTCTACATTCGCATAAAGTGATGAAACACATATGTTTAATTTTCTAATGAAATTAATCCCATTACACATAAATTAATAAGTAAAACTTCAAAGCAAGTATAAATCCACTACATTAAATAGATATGATTTGATCAGCATGTGGAAACTTAAGTTAAACGATTAAATTAGATTCTCAACAAGCGTTATTCATTGTCTAATGTCACTCAACCTCTACGCATGTTCACGTTTAATTTGTAAAAAGCAGAATGATACGTTTTTGTGAAAGAAACAAACCTGTAACAGGCAAACGGTACAGAGTTGGTTTGAATAATCGCCTTCATCTTATTTATAAAACACATTTTTACATAATTCATTTCAAGTTTTGTTTCCAAAACTTTTTATCAACAGAATCAACCTCAAGAATCAATTACAGTCAGAAAAAATTAAGTAAGTAACTTTATTTTAGTCTTTAATTTTATTTATAATGAATTACGAAATTTGTCATGTAGTACTTTTGAATTATGAATTATCAAAATGAACCATTCAAACAAGGTGTAAATAGATGCTTTTTGGTTCAGCTTTTAATCATTCCCCAAGAAAAGACAATCAGCTTGTAAGGATGAATAAAATTATTGGTGAATTTGAAATTTTTAAGATTGAGACAATTAGGATGTAAGTTACTTTTCTTGAAATGCCAATTCTGTACCAACACACCTCACTAACATCAAAAATTGTAAGTCCTATAAGAATTACGCAGTGAACATTTCCCTAACCTGGTTTCATGTTTGTACAGCATGAATACATTACAGTGTCATGATCTATTCCACTGTTTTGTAAAACAGAATCTAAGATTTTTTACTGTAATTCAGATTTTCTAAGGCTTCAAAATCGATAGACGTTATCATTTAAATGTGGGTGGTAGTGCATGCCTAATGATTTTCACTCAATGACATATTTGATGCATTCGTAACTAATATAAATCACTAGTGATGATTTTCCTTTACACATAATATTACTTGTTGCTTCAAATTTTCTTAATGGTAACAACTCAAACAACCAAAGCTTTAATAAATCCCTATTCTTATTTGATGCTATTTTGCATATGTTTAAGCAATACAGTGCCAGATAGCTTGATTTAGGTAGTAAAAAGAAGGAGCCAGTTGGTAATTATTAACTGAAAATACCAAGTTTTTTGTAAATTTGTTAGTAAAACGTCTCCATTCAGTGTATATTCTCACATGTTTTAAAAAGCCATCATACAATAACATACAGATATTTGCTTAATCATACAGATTATTCGTTTGACGTTATACGTCAGTTTAACAATTCAAACTTAATTCATTATTACTGGATGAAACAAAAAGCCTATCCTCTTTAATTCATGCCATTGGATCTCGTTAATTATATCTGAACACTGCACATGTGATACATAACTTAATTCATTATTCATAAATCATTCATATACTATACATTCATATACACTAAAAAAAATCAATAATCGTTTAATAATTTATTTCCATTTACATTTAAATATCCTGCCCAAAGATGTATACATTTCTCATTTTCGTACAATTCACATTTTAGAGTGGAACAATGATAGATATACGTTGATTGATAGATTGATAAGAACACTTTCAATGCATATTTTCAAAAACAAAAACATTAAAGAAACCACAAGTTACATGGTTTTCAAGAAGCATTCATAACTGATATTAAAAAGTAGTTTTCGCTTGTCATATGAGATCACAGAGAAGCTGAAATTGAACTGGTTAAGTCAGTCGAATGGGAGTTATCAATTACATCAACTCTCACTAATATATTCAGTTGTAGTCGTCCCATAGTGTATGAATATAAAACCGTTGTACATTATTTACAGTGAAAAACGCTTGTAATGAAGTAGTAGTGAGAAGCTGAGGTACAGGCATATAAATTATTCAGAATAAATCTGTTGCATCATTGGTTAGGATAATATATTTATTCGATTTCTCAAGATAAATATCTGCTGGTGACTTCTTATAATCGTTAATAAAGTATTATTTAGTTTTTACAGGCCAAAACATGTAAATTAATTTTTATCCCAATCTAAACTACCGGTATTTCATTTGAAATTGCGGAACTAACACAAATAGAAATTTTATGAACTACAGTAAGGGTTATGAATGTATGAGGAGGGTATCTGAACTTTACTTCAGTGTTTGGTAGCTCACAGATCATCTCTATCAGTAATTTAGTTTATAGACACTGAAAAAATGAATAATATGAGTATAAATGAAAAAGGGTTTTGGTTTGGACGATATTTAGAAAAAACTAATTAGTATTATCTTGGGCTATTGTTAATCATCGAAAATATTTTTGTATATTTTCAACAGTCATAATTTGAAATCGTGTGCAGAGGAATGAATTTCTGTAGTATAATTAATTACTCAGACAAATTAATTTATCAGTATCACGTCTCAAATGACTCCTAGTTTAAAATCTAAGTATCTCATTGTTTCACAAGGAATCACTGCGAATCATAAGTTGCATAATCACCTAATTACTATCGTGCTAAAAAAAAGCTCACAAGAATCACATAAATATCTGTATTCCACTTGTATACTGAGTACAGTAGAAGTGTTCTCGTAACTAACTTGAGATACGATATGGCATTCTAATTACTGTGCTTCTTAACTCATAGGAAAATGACTAAGTAAGAACCTTTCTTAACTTCAACCGTAGTTGATGTTTCTCATCATATACAAGTAACCTGCTTAGTTTTTAGAATCATGCTATCTCATGAAGCTTTAAATGCAACTCATAATTTCAATATTGTTACAAATCAAAATACATGTGTTATGTATAAGATACTACCGATACCGTATTCAAGTCTAAAATATTTTCTTTGAAATTTCCCCAATCAGTAGTCGCTCATCTAACTAACACTTGTTTGATAAGCAAATTTATTTATTAGTAGTACTAAAAGACAAGCGTCACATTCGTAACCTCACTTGTACAACGTTTAATGGATGCTTTTGTAATCAGTAATGTTGTATGCAACAAGACTTAATCACAATATGCTTCAGCTAAAACATCAAACGACGTTATTAATCAAACTACTTAATCCAGATAACTATACCTTGTTCAAAAGTTATTCTACCAACAAGGAATTCAGATGATTGAGATTCGTTGACAGTTCACTATAGTTTGAGATTATATACATATGCACTACGATAATATTTAGTAAGATATTACCTACAAAATGCTCCAGCAGGTAGACTAGCCTTTTTAAATTTTAGATTCTTCATTTGAAGCATTTCGCCAGTAAGTCTATGCATTCAAACTTAACATTCTTTTTATAAAAACAAATTGACTATTTTCTAGTAATATGCATTAAAAATATTATTGTAACTCAGTAACTAAATTCACTTTCCTAAATAAAACCATTAAACTTTCTGGCTTTAAGCCATATGGTTGTACATTAGGACGGTTTCAACTATTAAAGAGTATGAGGCTTACAAAATCGACAATATCTTATGAATCGCTACATTCAAGTATGCAATAACTCCTCTTACTTCTCCTATATTTTAATTATCTCTCAACTAAATCGATTTAAATTTCAGAATATTTAGAATGAACAAAATTAAAGTCTTGCTAGATAGTTATATTATCGAAAACTGAGAGAAATTTATCTGATAAAATAATCTTAATAAATATAAATTATTTGATGAAAATGTGTATTTTATGTCTAATGAAACTGCAGCGTATTATTTAATGTTGATTTATTTTTATTATATAAATATATAAATGTATTTCCCAGAATTCAGCTAATCTACATATCTACATACTATGAGTAATTTAATTATCATAAAAATTGTTTTATTTCAAATTGACTCAGTAATAGAGATAGTCGTAAATATACTAAATACAAATCAAGCACCAGAAAGATCGATATGAATCTAAAATATTTATTTATTTTCTATATGGTAATTATCACTCAACTAGTTATTAATAACTTGTATGAGCAGTTAAAACAATTATCAAATAAATAGTAAAGTTAGATTTTTCTTTAATGTGTAGTAATATTTGCATATATATTGTGAGAGGTATAATGTTTTATGCAATTACCAAATTCCATATTTTAGTCTTTTGATATAAAATCGAATTTTATACAATGAAATGGTGCAAAGCTGGAAATAATTTATGTAGATGAACAAATATGATTTATAATTTCTGTTTTTTTTCTATAAACCTAGTAAACTTGATCAAACAAATTACATGCTAATAAAATATTCTACGTCTTTATGAATTTAGCTTAGCCTTTTTAATTCAGTGTGAGATTTATTCACGCGGAAATCAATTATATATATATATATATATATTAAGTGATTTATTTGGATGTATTCATGTATAACTGCTTTTCCAAAGTACTGAAAAAAAATACATTTTAGTCAATATGAATTATTTACAGAAATATTAGAACCGTCCTGTACTGAAATGTGGATCATTTCACCTGAAATGTAGTCAAGATAATTTCAACAGAACACTTAGAGAATACATTGCAAGTATGCTCTCAAATCAGATCAAATTCCTTAACTTATTAGGCAAGAATATATGTATTCAGTATCACTTCAGTTATTCAAAAGGTTTTGATGTAATTAATCGAAAGTTTCGAAAAATAGAAAAACAGCAGAAGTATCAGTGACCGTTACAAAAACTGTCCAAAGTTTTAGTGTCTTTCTGCAATGGCTTATAGATTAAGTCACAATATAACTACTCCAAAGCACTGATCACATTGACTGGTAGATATTTTATCAATAAATGTGATTAAAGTTTGTTGAAGTAGAAATCAGATCAAGATATAACTCTAATGTTTTACTCTATTATAGTGGTATGAGAATTCTTTATTCACAATAAGTTCTCAGTTGTAAAACTTTCTAGATCAGAATAACCTTCTAGTGTAAACTAGTTGTTTAACCACCCTGTTAACAGCCATCAGATTTCGAGCTCAACTCGCAACGGTTGTTCAAAAAAGCAAACGTAATAGTTTTAGTATTCAGCGTTAGACTAAATGTTAACATCTTAGGGACCAGAAATAAGTTACTCATTCAACTGAAATGATGTTAGTTAGTCTCCGAAATCGTTTTTGAAACAGATTTTCTTTCCAAATGATGGCTGTTTAAAATATTTACAACATCTAGCCCATTGGACGGGAGATTTTCCTTCATATACTTAGAACACTTTATTTCCACCTATTAGAAATATCTCATTCAAGAAACAAGGCAAATTACAAGGTAAGCAAAATTAATAGAACTATCCAAAATATGTATATATTTCTATATCCCATAACATGTCAAGAAAATCATCATTTTTGTTCGCTGCATCAATATTTCATAAAATCCTTCTGCAAACAGTATAAGCTTTGTCTTCTATAATGGAAATAAACAAAATTTCATTCTTACTAATGTGTC